ATTTTTAAAACCTGACCATTGCCAGAAAGATGGGCCACCCAGCTAAGAAAATTTGCCACTCACTTCTGCCTGTAAAGCTTCCTTTTTAGATCCTTCTTATTCTAGGGTGAGGAGACTACAGGATCTGCGAAGGCCAGAGGCCGAAAAGAGATCTTAGGAGCCATGGACTTGGGCCCTGATCCCTTCCCCAAGCATGATTTAGGAATGACGGCTGGAGGATTCCACTCCCAGTTTTGGGTCTGATACTTCACTGTGACACAGGAAGGGAAAATCACAGCAGTTTGGTTTGTTGGGTTCTCCGTGTGCGCATGTGTGGGTGGGTGTGAGAGACAAAGATTGACTTCCTCATATCACACTGGCTGATTTTCCCACCCAGTGTGTGGGAGCCGCCCTGCCAAAAATGTCAAGTGCAAATCAATAAAGGCTGGAATTTGCAGCTGGCAGAAAATGGAGAGGCATTCTCCTCCCCCCCTCCCCCCATCATCACTTGGTGCAGGGTGTTTTTTTTAACAGCTGCCACTTCTGGCACCATAATTATAGAAACCAGGTTTCAATAAGCTGCTATTAAATGACCAGATATTAAAATATCCCCTTGGCTTTGCTGCCGACGTGGGTGGAGTGTAAGAGTTACTTTTGGGGTGGGCTTCCAAAAGGCAGCAGAAATCATCATCATCCTCACAGAACTGCAGAGCCAGAAGGGCCCTTAGGGATGATGGAAACAAGCCCCTGTCAAGGAGTCCCCATGGGGGAATCAAACCCCCCGACCTCTGGCTCCGCACCCAGAGACCGAAACCTCTGCACTTTCTAAAAGGCTGCAATAAAAAGTTCGCCCTGTTTGACACGGTGCAAAGTGCTGAGCCTCCTGAATTGGCAGAATTCAAGGGCTCCATTCATCCCTTTCCCCCGTCACCCTGTCTCTCCTCTCCCCTGCCTTCCGCACAACCTCCCTTGACCCAAGCAAACCCTCTTAAAAGTCTTGGGACTCTTCCAAATCAAGGCTAGATTTGTGGCAAACCAGTCCAAATCTCAAACTCCCATCTACTCCCAGGCTCTCATCTCCTGGTTGGTCTAAAGCAGATATTCCACTCCCAAGGAGCTTGCAATGTTATTTTAAAAATGCGATTCATCACCCTGGGACAACAATAAAGTACTACTGTCAGTTGTTACCCCAAGAGTCACACACTGAATAAGACATTAGAGTGTCCATTACACAACCAGTTGCAACCAGTGCACATGCAAAGATGACGCCCCCCATGAAGCGCAAGACTCCTTGAGCGATTACTCTTGTGCACCCCCCAACAGGATTCTGGCCAGTGGCACAGAATGCACCCATTCTGCTAACATTCTTCTGGGCAGGCTCCCCCTCCAGGAAAGGCCCCCCCTTGACAACCGATTGCTGGGGAGCATCCTTCCCCACTCACCCTAACGGACCAGCCTTGGGTCAGAATCAGTCCCTCACCTCGGACGAGGTCTTTGTGAAGCTGGTCCTCTGAAACAGGTATCCCTGGGAGCGGTGCTTTGGCGGCATCCTATGGCCAGTTTCGTGAAATGCAGGTGATGCTGCCACCCACCGGGAAGTGAGCCCCCCCTCACCTCCCCCTCCCAGGCAAGAAGGGGGGGATGGCCTGGCAGCAGCCTTTGCCTTCCCTGCAACCGCAGCCAGTGATTTTGCTGCCCTCTGAAACCCCAAAGACTTCCTCACGGAGAGGTCCTGCTGCAGAGTAGACAGCCGGTATCCCCCACCCCCCAGGGAAGGGGAGGGGGAGGAAGACTTTACCGAGTATTCTTTGTGGGCCTGTGAGGTTTTGCTTCCACCTTCTGCACAGAACAAATCCAGCCGCAGACGGGCAGAAGGAAACATCCTGTTCCCCATGGGAAAGACGCCTTCCCCCCCCCACCCATCAGCAAAATAAAAACCCTTCCCAGCCTCTAAAATGTTAGAATGGTATTAGAAGCACGTGCTGGAATCTGGTCCCTTGGTCCGGCTCCTTACTTTGGGTGGCTGGATCTTAGCACATCCAGGTGGGTGGGGGATTTTTCCTTTGTTGCTCTTTTGCTGGGGGAGCAAAGTCACAACGCTCCAGGCCCTCCCACAAAGCCTCTCCTCTTTAATTCCAGACCTCTCCATCTCCCCTTTACAGGAATTGCTAAGCAGCGAAATACACCCACAACCACACTCACAAAACATCTCTATCCTTCCCTCCCTTGTCCCCCCGGTTGTCTGATACTTTTATATCAAGGAGGGAGAGATCTGGGTAGTTTCTCATTCAAAGGTTTGAAAACCTCTAGTTATTTTCACCCCAAATACATCCCCTGCCAATTTTAGTGAGCTCCTCAAAAGCAAACGGAAACAAAAATTTAGTGCATCTGCACTGGCTGGATTCTCTACAGAAAGTGGTTGCCTTGCCTGTTTTGCCTGCCTCTTAAAGCAGGGGAGATGAAAAGCTGCTTCATCAAGCATTTGGCTGAACACACTGGGATTCAAATCCCAGGCTTTTAAAGACTTACCAAGCAAAAGCCCTGAGCCGAGACGGACCAATCTGTCCGCACGCCCGCCTTCTGCCTTCCAAAGCTTACAAGTCTTTTACAAACCTGAATACGTGATTTGCAAATTTTGGTAAATTCTTAAAAACAAACCAACAGACCAAAAAGGAAATGAAAAGTTGGCTCACCTGCACATCATGCTACATCCGATTGGTTCAGCGGTTCCCCAGAGGATGAGCACACGACTGTGTCTGTCGGCCACAAAGATGTTCAAGAGGCCAAGCCACTCAGGAAAAATAAAAACCAACCAACCAAGACAAAACAGTCTCCTTTCCAGAGTTCAAATCCTCCAATCTACACCCGGAACACGCATTCCAGCGGGCGAGGACCGCTGTCGTTCTGCAGCTACCCATGTGCTCCATTTGTGCAAACACAACTCAGAGGCAACTGCTTGGTAGACATTTATTTTATGTACACACTTATACACTCAATTCTCAAGGAGAGAGGGTTTTCCCCCCCTCCTCTTCAGTGCTGTCTTGTTTGCATTTAAGTTCCAGTCCACATTGATTCTACATAAACCCACCGGACGACAATTTGGGATGCAGACAGGGAGCAGCGCGCATCCCCCGAGGGCAGATGGTGCCCACCCACTCCTGTCCGACGAGTGCTGCAGGAAGGGTCCGGCAAGTTACCGGCTGCTCCCTTTTCCAGGGTGGGGTGTCCCCCCTTCTCCCTCCCTCATGCCAAGGGGTGCCCAGGAGGACTGCCATCTTTAGATGGCGATGAGCAAGTGCCAACGGAGACCTCCTCCAGAAGACCCTTGAGACAGGGAAGGAGTTCTGACACGGGAGCAGGTCACTAGGCTTTGCGCCTGGCGGCTGGGCAAACCACCCCACACCTCACAAAACCCCACCCGCTGGCTGACCTGCCCCTCGCTGTGAGAACCCCCATGGGCCCCAGAGAGATTTCCGCCCCCCCCAGCTGCCCCTGCTTCCGCCTCTTGGTCCCCCTCACAACTCCATCAGGGACATGACGCCAAACCCCCTCCCTCAGAAAAACTTGGGAGATTTATCCTGCAGAGAAAAAGAAAGAAAGAAAGAAAGAAAGAAAGAAAGAAAGAAAGAAAGAAAGAAAGAAAGAAAGAAAGAAAGAGGGATGCTCAACAACTAGAAGGCGCCGGGTGGCCACCAGGCTCCATCTAAGCCCCCTCCCCCCCGCACTGGCAAAGGGCAAAGCCAGGGAAGGAGGAGACGGGGCTCCCTCCAAGCACCGGCCTGGCTGTCATTGGTTCTCTTTCACAGCAGCCCTTCCTCCTCCTCCTCCTCCTCCTCCAGCCAGCCTGAGATTATTGGGAGATTTTAAAGTCAATTCTCTGAAAACACAGTGGGATGATGGGGCAGAGGGGCGGCCGGAAAGGGCAGCATCGGCGGGCCTGCTTCCCAGATGGGTCTCCCCTCTTCTTTCTGGTGGGTGATGCTGTGCAGTCAAGATTTCAATTTCATGCCACTTTTCTCTTTCTTAAAAAGCACCCTTATTTCGGAACATAATTTAAGTTTGGGTGAAACATAAACCTGGCCACAAGAGGCGTCCTTGAGAAGATAAAGGTGAGCGGGTGAATCCACCACACAATAAGGAATCCTGTGGGGTTGACCCCTTCAACAGCCTTGGGCTGCTCTGTGTAGACAGACGCCCTCCACTACATGTGTGTTTGTGTGTGTGTGTGTGTGTGTGTGAGAGAGAGAGAGGAATTGCTGAGACCCAACGTTTCCCTGGGACGTGGCCCACTCTGACTTGAGAATTCATGCTCTCTCGCCCCAGGGTACGGCAGTGTTCTCTTTGCGGGCACTCGGTGCATGCTCAGGGGCAGGTGTTTTTGAAAACAAGGAGTCCATATCTGGAAAAAGAGAAGGGAAATGGCAGCAACCACCAAATAGAGTTGTGTGAGTGCGGGGAGGTGGGGGGTGTTGAGCCATGACTCAAGCCGAAGCCCACCCAATATGGACGTTGGGCTGGTGGAAAGTCACAAGATCTGGGGGGAAATGGAAGAGGGGGGAACAGAAGGGGGGATTTTAACCCTCTCAAAAAGGGCCCGCCAGTATGCTTGACAAGTGAGGTGGCCTGGAAGAGCAGGCTCGGGGGGGGGGAAGCACTTCCATGGGGCAGCTGTCCCGCTTCTTACCGGGGAAGCCCCCAGCCCCTCTCCAACAGGCTCCCCACCCTCGCCCCAGCCCCCAGGGCGGCTCAGGTTCAGGGCAGCTCATTCTGGGCAAAGCAGGCTTGAGGAAGGAAGGAGGGAAGCACCTTTTCCTGAC